GTGAGACATATATATCTGGCAACTGATATCATCTGTAGAAAGTATACTTATTTATACTTAACATACTTTGACTCGCTAAGTTGATTGTATTATATCAGAGATATACATAACTTGCAACTGACATCATCTGTAAAATGTATACTTATTTATACCTCCCATACTTTGACTCGCCAAGTTAACAGTGCCACATATGAGGTACATACGAAGCGTACATAGCTGACAACTGACATCATCAGGAGGATATATATATATGTGTACCTCTCATTCTTTGACTTGCTATGTCGGGGCCATGACCAGTACTTGGCCATTCCACCTGATAGTATAGTCGATATCGCAGCTCTTATGGTTGGGATATATGTTACTTTTCAATGATCAATAGAAGCATCTGGTACGACGGTTGTTCGCCATCGCAAACAAGCGTGTGAGGAGATGGGCAGTTCGGTTCGAGGACTCGGACTCATCGCTTGTACCGTAAAATAGCGGCGAGTCTGAAACGTCGTCAAAGAACCGAATCTTTTGTGTGACTGCTCGTTCGATATACACACACCGAGCGTATCGGAAGCTCTCTTGAGCGTAAACCAAGCGCTTCTATTACTGCCAGAACGCGCAACGATCACAATTGGAACATCTTCGAATTTTATTCGGGATTTTTTAATGCCTTTTGTTAATAATTAATGGCTTTTATTAAATAACTAAAAATTATATACCGAAAATCAATCAACCTTACGCGGCGACTCGTACTCAATTTGAGGTATCGCGAACGGCAGTAGACCAACGACCGGACGGCGTTCCAGAATAAGGCCGCGCATGTAGACAACTGAACGGTGAATCAAAACCAAAGCACAAACCGGTTATACAATCATCCTTGAATTGCAGGATATAGGCAAAGAACGAACCAACTATAGAACTATCTTTGAATTGCAATATATTCCATTATATAGATACATTGCCGAATCGGTCGTCACACCGAGTACTGAACAGTACGACAAAGTATCTGTGCAGAGGTGTGCTGTTGTAATTTGAGCCGCAGGCGTAAAGGTATATAACTTCATACACGCTCTCATCGCTTTCTAGGTCATATACATGGAGAGCATTGGGTGCACTCTAACATGGAATACAAGACGTCGTCAATGACAGGGAAAGCTAACTTCCACAGGTATACAAATATATATATATGAATATATATATACATATATATATGAATATATATACATA